TAAACCCTAGGAACTAACCTCTTCAAAGACAGGCATAAATGCAGCACTATGAGGACAATAAGGACTATAAACAAGTAAGAGAACATCTTTATTACTCTCTAATACAACTGATTTATATCGAGATGCCACCAAGTCCTATACACACAAAACCCTAAACCCTAAACCCTAAACCCTAAACCCTAAACCCTAAACCCTAATTCAATTCAAAACAGACATGCAGCATTTTTATTGTACAACTTTTATATCCAGATCAACAACCCTTAATAAACCCTAAACCCTTAATAAACCCTAAACCCTTAATAAACCCTAAACCCTTATTAAACCCTAAACCCTAAATAAACCCTAAACCCTTAATAAACCCTAAACCCTTAATAAACCCTAAACCCTTAATAAACCCTAAACCCTAAACCCTAAATAAGCTGCTTACGTAGACAGGCCCTTTTTGTACTTTTGGGGGTTTTTCTGATTTATAATAAGGAGACAATTTCTTTTCCTTAAATAAGGCTAAAAAGGAGACAAAAAAGAGACAAAAAAAGAGACAAAAAAGGAGACAATTAAGGAAACAAAAAGGAGATAAAAAGGAAACAATTATAGACACACTAATCATATATTTATATTTATATTTATTTATTTATTTATATTTATTTATTTATTTATTTATATTTATTTATTTATTTATTTATTTATTTATTTATTTATTTATTTATATTTATACATATAAAAGACTAACTAAGACAATAAAGAATTTCTTCTTTTGTTGGTGATTAAATATATTTAATTAATTAATTAATTAATTAATTAATTTATTTATTTATTTATATTAATTAATTAATTAATTAATTAATAAAGACTAACTAAGACAATGAAGAATTTCTTCTTTTGTTGATGAATTTGGACAAATAAATTTTTGTGTTTTTTTTGGATCATTTAAATGACGAACTATTATAACCTATACATAAACCCTAAACCCTAAACCCTAAACCCTAAACCCTAAACCCTAAACCCTAAACCCTAAACCCTAAACCCCTTAATAAACCCTAAACCCTAAATTCTTAAAAAATGGCACATACATATAAAAAAAGTATCAATAAGAGCTCTTAATACACCATAACATTAGCAGCAGCAGCAGCAGCAACAGCAACAGCAGCAGCAGCAGCAGCAGCAGCAGCAGTATACCTGTGGATAATATTCTTCCTTAATACCTAAATAACTAAATGCCCTTTTACGAAGAATAGAAGGAGAAGAAGATAAACAAAATAATACAGATTTATCCCATGCACCAGCAGCATCCATAAACTGCAAAAAAAAAACCCCAAACCCTAAACCCTAAACCCTAAACCCTAAACCCTAAACCCTAAACCCTAGATAGGGTTTATTTAGTACAGTTGGAGAGGGAAAGAAGGGAGTTTAGAAAACCCCCTCTTATGGGCAGTGTATATATACTCTAAACTGTAGGGTTTAGGGTTTAGGGTTTGAGGGTTTAGAGCCCGAGGGTTTAGGGTTTAGGGAGAAAAAGAACAAACCGCTGTCTCCTCAGCTATTGCAGGCTCTGAACCCCCAAAGAAGAAAACCACCGGACGAAGCTCCGTGAATATCTGCATGCATAAACCCTAGACCCTAAACCCTAAACCCTAAACCCTCCGAGCTAAACCCTTTACTGCAAACCCGGAATCTCTGCCTGAAGTTATTCGATGAGCAACTTGCAACCCTAAACCCTACAAACACCTAAACCCTAAACCCTAAAAACCCTAAACCCTAAACCCTAAACCCTAAACCCTAAACCCTCAGACATACAGAAGGAGCATTAAGAGTGTTTAAGACAACGATAGGCTTTGGCTCTTCCTCCAGTGCGCGCGTCAGTCGCATCTGCACAGTCAAAAACCCTAAACCCTAAACCCTAAACCCTAAACCCTAGGTGTCTTATACAATGGGACAAAAAGGTCAGGTAGCACACAGACAACAAATACAGGAGGAGAAACCAATGTGATGAACGAGCAAACCCTAAACCCTAAACCCTTAACCCTAAACCCTAAACCCTACCTGCTCCTCATCACCATCCATTGCAAACTCCTGACGGAAACCCTTGGGGCGCAGCAGCAGCTGACTAGGAGGCTTAACCTGCACACCACTCAAACCCTAAACCCTAAACCCTAAACCCTAAACCCTAATCCGCAGGACGTGCGGGTGTATAGCAAGGTGGAGACAGCAGAAGAAGACCAACTAGGGTTTAGGGCTTCTAGGGTTTAGGATTTCTAGGGTTTAGGGTTTAGGGTTTAGGGTTACATTAAAGGAAGAAGCAACATCAGGGTCATCAACATCAATTATAGGGAGACGAGTTGCAGCAGCTAAAACCCCAGCAGGTACAGGGGTTACATCTCCAGCTGCACCAACACATAAACCCTAAACCCTAAACCCTAAACCCTAAACCCTAATTATGCAAATATAGACCCCACAGGATCCCTAGGTAGAAACCAAATGGTAAACCCTAAACCCTAAACCCTAGATCAAAAACGCTTAGCAGATGCATAATCGCATGATCGTACAACCCACAAACCCTAAACCCTAAACCCTAAACCCTAAATTAGGGTTTGTAGAATCCTCACGACTAGGAAATAATCGAACAAGAGAAGTTGGAAATTCAAACAAAAGTTCATCGAGAAGTTTTTTGCTCGTCGCCCGAAGAGAGGGAGGATAGGCGAGTCTGCGGTGTACAAACCCTAAACCCTAAACCCTAAACCCTAAACCCTAAACCCTTATTAAACCCTTAACCATAAGCGATCCCTTTATGTTTACTGTGATTTATGCTTCTGAGATAAAACCCTAAACCCTAAACCCTACGCTATAAACCCTTAATAGGTCCAGTGTGAGAGCGTAAACCCTAAACCCTTAAACCCTAAACCCTAAACCCTCGATAAATGCATATATATTAATTAATTAGGGTTTAGGGTTTTGCATACTTAATGATTTGGAGTTTGATTTCTTCTTCTGTAGCATTATCAGGGAAGAATAGAGATAAATAATCTTGCTCTTGTTCTTCTTTCTCTTTCTCTGCTGCTGCTGCTGCTGCTGCTGCTGTTGCTGCTGCTGCAGCAGCAGGCTTAGGTATATTCTGCTGATAACGAAGGAAGATATCACAATCTCTCTTCTCTCCTTGGCGTATACCAGACCGACCCGTAGACGCCACCTGCACAAACCCTAAACCCTAAACCCTAAACCCTAAACCCTAAACACTAAACCCTAAACCCTAAACCCTAAACCCTAAATCCTGAATGCTTATATTTATTGAATAGCCCACTTGAATTCACACACGAGACAAACTGTATGTATAAATCTAACACCATAAACCATAAACCCTAAACCCTAAACCCTAAACCCTAGGGTTTATAATACCTTAGCAAATAAAACCCTAGGTAATAAAGAAGAAAGTCTATTAAATGCCCGAGAAACCCTAGCAAATACAACAGAGACACCTGAGGTGTCTGTACACCGCGAATCAGCTAATAACACTAATGCTGTCCTGTATACACATACACATACACACAAATCCTAAACCCTAAACCCTAAACCCTAAACCCTAATCTCTAGATCCTTGGTATTATAATAAGATGGTAGGGAACTTCTGTCTCCAATTTTCTCTCAGTGGCTGGTATAAGGTTTAGGGTTTTGAATTAGGGTTTAGGGTTTAGAATTAGGGTTTAGGGTTTATGATTAGGGTTTAGGGTTTAGGATTAGGGTTTAGGGTTTATGTTACGGTCTTTTTTGTAATGCAATTTGTAATGCTTCTTCTGTTAATTCAACATAATCAGAAGATTCATCTATATCTATTTCTCCTGCTGCTGCTGCTGCTGCTGCTGCTGTTTCTGCTGCTGCATCTGCTGCTGCTGCATCTGCTGCTGGTGCTGCTTCTGCTGCTGTCTCTGGTGCTGCTGCTGCTTCTGGTGCAGATGCTGGTGCTGCTGCTTCCGGTGCTGCTGCTGCAGGTGCTGCTGCTGCTGCTGCATTTGCTGCATTTGCTGCTGCTGCTGCTGGGGCTGCTGCTGCTGCTGCATCAGAAGGTGGGTTACTTAGATAAGAAAATTCTTCCTTAAGGGAATTAGCTGGGCAGCTTTGCTGCTCGGGTGTACGTACGCTGTGGGGCTCATTTGCTGCTGCTGCTGCTGCTGCATTTGCTGCATTTGCTGCTGCTGTATTTGCTGCTGCTGTTGCTGCAGCTGCCTCTCCCGTTGCTGCTGCTGCTGCTAAATGCAGCAGGAGAGGGAAAAGGCGCGTCATTGCGCCGCTGCAGGAGGGGAGGATTCCCCCACTATAGGGTTTGCTGCTATTAAGTGCTGCTGCTGCTACTGCTTCTATTGCTGCTGTTGCTGCTGTTGCTGCTGTTGGTGTTGCTGCTGCTGCTGCAGGAGGTGTACGGACACCGTGAATAGCAAGCAGCACGAGGTGACTGCTCCTGCATACACCTGAGCAACAGAAAAAACCCTCACAAAAGGGTTATTTTATATAATTAAATAATAATTAATTAATTAATTAATTAAATAATTAATTAATTAAATAAAAAAAGAAAAAATACACAAAAAAAAAGCAAAAAAAGTACCTCCCTATCTTACCAACCGCCGACTGTTGCCTGATGGGGGGGGCCCCCCACGGGGGCCCCACAACTCTGTATGTATTATTGTATTTATTTATTATATTTAATAAAAAATAAATAAATAAATAAATTAAATAAATAAATAAAAAAATAAAATAATAAAAATAATGCAATAAAGGGGGAAAAGTTATTATCTACCCGTGTTACGGTGTACGTACACCTCAGCTTCCTTAGGATATATATATATATATATATATATATATATA